CAGCCAAAGACAAGGATACCCATGGATCCCAAGATTCCAATTTAACCGACCCCAGTCCTACTAGTGCTCACGGCACCGAAAAGCGTGAGAGGCATGTCCTACACAAGGATCCTCCTGCTGGTTATGGGGCCCCAACGAGCGAAGATCCTCAGGCCCCTCCAGAAGAGACTGCAGAACCAACCAAGAAGGACTCGACGCCAAGTATGCTCGCCAATCCCTTCTCTCCTAATTCACCGAGTGCCAGCAGTCCAAGCAAGGTCGGCTTCAAAGACAAGATTAAAGGAGAGATCATGATGGTCCAAGGCAAGCTGACCCGCGATGAAGGTCTCAAGGAAGCCGGAGAGAAAATGAAGAAGGGTACTCTTTAAACACGTTGCTGCCTAATAAACATATTGGACACCTCAAAATTCTCGATCCATTTTCTATGTATTCTAGGTTACCGCTGTATATTCTATGATCGCTACTACAGTACATATAGTGCCTTTTACCTTATTCATGGGTGATTCTATAAAAAAATTGGTCATTACTGAATGCTGTCGAAGAAGGAATGCCGATGGTGTAGGTGAACGGCCCGGTTCCCCACAGAGTCCACAAAAGTCGAACGACAGGGCCACGGACGGACACGGTTTATTAGACGCCAATACACCAGAAAAAACTAATCTTGGACCTCTCCACAACTTCAGGAAACACTCAAATAACTTTTCCATATCTTTGATTGTAAAATACAAGCCATGTCGAAAGCGAGGGCCTCTTCTGGTGCAAAACCATTGACCTCGCGTCCGCTAGACTTGCTGTACTATGTGTTTTTCGCGGTCCATCTCGTCTGTTCGGTTGGAATAGATTGTCTTCCACTCTGGCCAAAGCAAATGCAGACCTTTCCTGGCTTGCAGCAAATCCATACGGGCCTTCATTATGTCGTGAAGGGCTACACTGAAAAGACCAATGACCCATTCATGCTTGCAACGCATGGACTCGTACAAAGGGAGTGGGAGTTTTCATTCTTGAACTGGTATATGATCATGGAAGTGTAAGTCTACACCTTCTTTCCTGTTCTCATGCGGTTCCCGTTCGTTCAACCAAGGACAAGACGTTAACATACTTTATGGAAATAGATTCTTCTGGATACCTGCATTTGTCATTGGTATGATTGGTCTCCAACGCGGTATGCACTGAACTCCATTCTGCCCATATATCACCATACTGACTGCCCGACTCGTCCAGACTCGAAAGCCATCTATCCATTCCTCGTTGCATACTCTGCAGCTGGTCTAGTGACTGCATCAACTGTTGCTTGGGTCACTCTTAAGGCTCCCTCGGCTTCTGACCTCTCCCTCGATCCAGTGTCGAAATTCTACGCGTTGACCGACGAGGGAAGGTGGACGATCCTTGGCCCCCTCATTCCCTTCTTGATTGTTCCCATGATCATGTTCGTGGACATGATGTTTAGGGTCACCAGCTTGGTCAACGCCGGCGTTAAAGCGCAAGCCGCTCAGAGGGGTACAAATGGTAAAAAGCACATTTAGTACAACGCCTTGGTAGTACTGTAATCGCTCACTTAGGATCTCATTGAAGAGAATTCCGTGGATGGTATATTTCTATGCGCGTATATAAGATGCCAAGGCTCAACAAGTAGCTCTCCTAGACGTAATATCATACTTTCTCTTCTATCCTATCTATTCTTTTACCCGTCCACCTCCA